ATAAAAGTCTTTTTATCCCGATGACAAAATAAAGATGAAAGTATTTTTGTAACATAGAATCAGTTAAGCATTTTCTAACAATGGATGATTGAAAAGCTTTTTTCGTCGTGTGAAAAAGTTTAATTAATGACTAGAATTTTATGTTAATCTCTAAGATGGATTGATGTTATGTTTATAGTACGTTTTTGTGAGTGTAGTGAAATAATCGCTGAAATGCTAAAAATAAATAATTTTGAAAAACAATTTGTATCAATTTCTTTTTCTATCGTCATATGCTAAGTGCTTTATTCATAGATTAGTCGATGGATCAAAAGATATTGGAGCAAATTTATTGTTTTAGTTTCTTTCTTTTTCGATAAGATACCTCATCTATGATTTTTTCATATTAACTTTCTAAATCAAAATTATCTATTTCAACTCGTATAAATATCGTGTTTTACCAGGAACTATAAGCGTTTTCACATTTAAGATCTTGCAAAGATTATTTCATTATTCTTGAAAAAAGCCTGCCAGGCTGACATATAAAACAGTACTTTCAAGAGCAGCACAAAATATGAGCTTTAGTTAAAGTGTTTCATTCATCAGGAAAGTCTCTCAATAGATCTTGATTAAAGCGGCGTCTTGTGAAAAAGATTTCAGATCATCCATGATAGCCTATTCTATTTGATAACATATGTGTGACGATAAAACTGGATTGAGTAGCTAGCCGCCACTCTCGGCAATGATGTTTATTAGCTACTTTCCATATCCAGAGTGTCCCGAATTTACATACAACACACGTATATATAAGAGAGAGGAAGAGAAGAGAGAGAGATGAACATATATTAGAACAATGAAGAGAGAGCAGATAGAGAAGGAAGAAGAGTTATTGGAACGTGTCATTAATATCGGCACAATATGCTGCTGATTATTTTTTCAATTTATGACCATACTTGTTAAAGGTCGATTCTATGATGTTTTTAGTCTCATGTTCGGTTGGATATCGTTGGTTAACTATTATCCATCGTGATACGATGCATTCCTTTTTCTGTGGGATGTCCATAGGAATAAGACGTATTGATTTACCTTCCATAACAGGTATACCGTCGATGCTCATTATCATGTGTACATACGAATCATTGGCAATGTCATTGCCTTGAGTTCCTACACTCCTAACAAAACTAGGTGTATGAGCATACTCTACTAAACTCATCTGCAATGCATTACTCGGGCTATTGTCTTCTTTCAAGGCGACGCCTACTGTTTTAGCAAATTCAGCAGCAGCAATAGTGTTATTTGTACTGATATGATCTCTATGTGCTTGTTTAACTTCCACATAAGCTGGTCCAGCACGCTCAAGTCGCCCACCAATACCGCGGTCTCTAGACATTTCTAATTCGGGATCAGCATCAGCAGCTGACGCTCGATAAGAAACTCCATGTTCGTATTCGTGTGTTTTACCGCTAATCTTGACTCCGAATTCTTCTTCGATACGTGACGTTTCATGCCCTTTTGTTCTGTATGTTCCATCACTGTTCAATGAGTGGTCACGCTTTCTATCTCCCTCTAATCGGATCTCGTCTTTTTCAAAAAGATTACGTTTCATTGGAGCTCCGGCACCTAGCATCGCATTGTATCCACGTGCATCATTTTCACTTCTAATTCTAGCGTATCGATTTGAATATCGAGCTGTAAATTGATATAATTTTTCTCGATCTTTTTCTATCATCTCATCATTCGCTTCATAACCAAGCGATTCTTTGTAAGCAATTAACAGACAATCTTTACGTCCATTGACTTGTTTAAAACTTTCCGGAGCTAGAGCATTGGTGAAATGTCCAACATCTCCACCTTTACCTGCTGCGTAGATTATTTTTGCTGATTGTTTAAAAAAAGCAGGAATTTTTTTCCATCCAGGAGGGCTGATTAAATGCTTTTTTTTTGTAGTTTCATCATATACAACTATGTTTCTCATTTTTTTATCCGCGAGCATTTTTATATCAGCAAGACCCAAAGGTCGATTTTTATCTTTGATTTCATCTGCGTAATTCGAAATGATTTCTTTTGGGTTCGTTATATCATTTTGCAAGTTCTCTCTTCTCTTTTGATCTGATTCATCTTTTCTAGAATCAGTTTTTGGTGACGGTTGCTCTTCAATAATTTGACTTTTTTGACCATCTCTTTCATTTTGATTAGATTTTCTCAGCGTATCAATTGGATTCTTACCATTAAACTCTGATTCGACTAATGTCTTAACGATATATGTCGCTCCCTTTGCTATTTGATTTACTCCCGTACTGACCACTTGTCTTACTAGTTTATCTAATTCTCTTGTCAATGTTTTGGTTATATATGCGTTTATCATATTCTTCAACTGAGCCGCTCGATCTTTAATTTTAGTAGAATTTATATTTCTATGATTACCAACATTTTCTAATTTTACTGCATTATCAATTATGTTAGTAAAAGTAGTTATTATTGAGGCCAACTTTAAAATCGGTTCGATTGTACTCCAAATCTTATCAACTAGAACTACTGATTTTACAGTGGCACCAGCCAGTTTAGCATATTTCGAACTTGACTTTAGTAGAGTATCTCCAAATTGTTCGTAAGTTCTTTTCAACGAAGATGCAACTTGTATGCGAATATTATTAAACTGTTCCGGTAATATAACACTTTTTCCGAGTGCCATACCTACACTCGTTTCCATGTTTTTGAAAGCCTCTTCAAAATCTCTATCGGTATGACAAGTAGCATAAAGTTTTTCTACTTTTTCATCTATTACCTTATGCACTCCTTTCAAAAGTTTTTCTTCTATACCATTGACGACTGTTTTTATTACATTTTCTTGAATTTCTTGCATAACTTTTTCTGTCAAAATGTTCGTAGCACATGTAGTTACAAATTGATAAGCAGCTTGTTTTACTAATTGTACAAATATTGCCGATTTAGATATTGCACCAAGTTTAGATGCAACATTGCCTAGAGATGCTAATGTAGCTATACCAGCAGTCGCTAAGGAAATAGTAAAGCTAATTGACTTTTGTATAGCCCAATCCTTCCAACTAAATGTACCTGACAATCCTGCCATTGTTGCATAAATCATATCCGATATACCTTCGGCAATAAGAGCATTTCCTATATTAACACAACCGAATGCTACTAACGCTGCTCCTCCAATTACTTGTGCCACACCTATCATGGCAACGGCAAAAGCGCGCCAATCCCACCATGATTTATCTTCTTCAATAATCAAAAATTTATCAAGACCAAATCCTCGGAAAAAATTCAATTCACTTGGAACTATTTCCTCATTCTCAAGATCTATAAAGTCTTTCAAGTTTGCTTTCAAACCTTCTTCATAAGCACGAATATCTCCTTGTAAACCTGCCAGTTTAGACTGAATCGATTCTTTATCATTAATATACTCAGTATTTTTCAAAGTTTCATCTAAGATTCCACTAATCTTATCCTTTTGATCACCATATTTATACTCTCGACTAGCAAATCCTCCTGATTTCAATATATATTTCTCTTTCAAAAATATTCGAATTTTATTTCCTTCTTCTTCTTTTGTACCAAATGGTAAATCTTGTTGATACAAATAACGACCGCCATTTTCAATAATTTGTACTTTCAATTCTTCTAAAAACATCTCCAGAGTTCCATTTTCATCACCATTACAATTAAATCGAATTTTTCCATACTTTTCATAATT